GTACTCTAATGAAAACACGCCGTTTATGCGACAAACACCATGGCCAGAAAAGGCTTCCGGGACTTCAAAAAACGTAGACCAGTGTAAAGAATGATGAATGACTCATAATAGAACTAGCACAGTTATTAGCACACACATTTCTTAAACGTTCTAGCCAGCATAGACTTGTCCCACAGTGAACACCTTGAACAGACGAAAAATTTTCTAGAATCGCAAGAAACCCTTGTGAAGAACAGGCCACTTCAAAAAAGAATACAGTTTGAAATAACAGTAGGTAACCCACAGTCACTACCACAGATCAGTTGCTCTTTCTTAGTCCATTCTAAGGATCGCACGGTCCCTTCAGAATGTGCTTCCTGAATACAAGAAAACCGCACATCAATCTATATGTTAATATAATTGGAATCGCTTCACCAGACGCGGGTTTGGGGTTGGCGGGGTGTTCAGCGATAAGTCGGGAATGAAATGCCCGGTACGTTAGGTACAAATCCGTGAAATCTAAACTTGTTAATACTATCGTAACCGTACAAACACTTCTGGATATTCTAAATCCAAAAAAATAAAAAAGTGAAATATTGCAGCAGAAAATCACGTCAAACCAAAATTTACAACGTTGCAATTTCTCTCCGCCAATTCATATTTGCCAACCAGTCGTGTAATCTCTTTGTATACCTCATATGAACATTACAGAATATATTTCTTCCTTGTTTAAGGAAGTATTTTTTGTTTAGCTCAAATGTTTCTTGCTGTAATGAACCATTTTTTAACCTTACATCTATAATATACCGAATTAGTCTTCTAGAAATCTGTAGTTTCGACGTTTAAGCATTATAACGACAATTTTCACAGTAGTTTTAATAATTCTTTGTTTTTACCAGTCATTTGCCATAATACAAAGGTCCTTCCACTCACATTTCAGCTTTTTAAATGTTTTCCATATACTTAATACGTGGCCTGCATCTCCGTAGTTTTGTACGCTGATTGCCTTGGGAAAGGGCAAAGTTTTAAAAGTTGATTGTAGATGTTACTATTCGAAGTTTACAATTAGCAGACACGTATTAAATAAATTTCGTAATTGAGGGCCAATCGTTATATTTATTTTTTTTACAGTTAATGGGTGTCTTTAGTTTGTTGTGCATAGTTTTCAGGTTTTTATCTACAGAAATTTCCTAATACATGCGTTGTGTTGCGTAAAGTGTTACGAATAATCAGTTACCTATAACCTTTTCTTTTGTTCGGTCGATGTTTAGGAGCTGTTTGGTTCAATGAGCACGCTGCCCGAATTCTGTGATTAGATGTCGTGGCTTAACAAAGTCACAGACATTGCTGAAAAAGCAGAAAGTTTACTCAACAGACTTGACCAAAATGCTGCGGATGTAAGTTCCTTTCGATGCATTTTTTTGTAAGCAGAGCGGGGAGGTTCATTGGGACTTGTAATATTTATAATATCTATTGATGGTGATATAATTGTTTTTGCCAAGAAAAAGCTTGTTTCGTAAATTTATGATTCATCATGATGACTTTGATTGTTGTTTGATATGAATATCGTACGAGTCTCATAATATTGGTTAAACATAGTAATAAAGCCCCATCGTTTTTTCTGCGCTTTTTTTTTTCTTACATTTAGGCCACTGTAAGGAAATACTCATTTTTTTCTCTTCAAAGATCTCTACTTCAGGCATTGAAAAAGCCTAAATCTGTGAGTGGGTCGGTTAGAGCGTTCCCTCGTGGAGAAAGCCAATTGTCATTGCGTAATGACGACAGGCACTCTGAAGGTGGATTTGAAGCCAGTTCACGAGGATACACTAGGTTTGCTTATTTCTATATGTGTTGCATATGTAAAGTTCCAGTTCTTCATTTTTTCTTTGTCGTTTTTTTTTTGTAACAATTTTTTTGTAACAACTTTTTGTAACAATTTTTCT